CACTTTCGTGCGCGGGTTTTGGTTGCTGTCTTTTGGCTGCCCATTTGGATAAAATAGCGAAATGAAGGTTGGAATGTCGAGGCAAATTCAAGCGGAAGATGGGGAATACTTATAGAGTGGTGTTAGGAAAATAACGAGTGGAATGCACGAGCGCCACTGTTTGCGACACCCAGCCATATCACTCAGTGTCTCTAACCATCGGCCCAGTGTTTGCGAAATACATGCAGAGTGGTGTTAGAAAAATAACGAGTGGATGCACGAGCGCCACTGTTTGCGACACCCTGCCATATCACTCAATGTCTCTAACCATCGGTCGCTCAGTGTCTCTAACCATCGGATACGATCATCCCGAGGTCCCCAGCCAGGGAGCCTAACAGGTCCTATGTGACCCAGTTTCCTGGTCAGGGTTTTCATATCCTCCTGGTTGAGTGTTATGGCTGAGTTTCGCAAACAGAGGTGCTCGTGCATCTACTCAATGTCNGAAAATGGAGAAGTTCAGTGGTCTAAGGTTGCAAAGAAATTCAGGAGATGCACGAACGCCACTGTTTACGACATCCAGCCATATCGCTCAGTGTATCTAACCATCGATTACGATCATCCAGAGGTCCCCAGCCAGGGAGCCTAACAGAACCTATGTGACCCAGTTTCCTGGTTAGGGTTTTCATACCCTCGTGCCAGGTCTTAACTTGACCACCCTTGGCTTTTTTCCACTCGGTATCTGCTTCGGCGAACATCGCTCGCCGTGGTAACCTATCTGGTGACATGCGTAACACATGTCCCAGCCAACGTAATCTATGGAGGTCGATCACTTGCTCCAGTGGGCGACCGTATTTACCCTAACATCAGATAAGAGAGATGGGCGCATGTCGATGAAAAGTTACTTAAGAACGGATATTAGGTATGAATCAGCAACAAAGCAAATGCATTTATGCTAAACACTGTGCAGAACAGGAAGATGGGGTCCAGTCAGAGATAAGACGCTCATATATTGTAGTTATAGTCCTAAATCACGATTTACCCCACGTTGACTGGTGACTGCGAAAATTTACCCCTGAACAATCGACCTGGAAGGAAATATAGGTTAAGTGAATGAATGAAATTGCTGTTTTTGGTTTTTTCTGTCGTTGTGGCTAATCCAAACATTCCTATATGGATCGAATGAATGGCAAGTGGAGATAGAACCAGGGGCTTAGGTTGCCGGTTTCCACCACTGAACAGCAGGTCCTCGTGACTATAGGGTTCGCCAAGTCTGCTGTTCATCACACGTAGGTGTGTAATAAAAAAACGAAGTGTAAATGTCACAAACACACCGTCCAAGATATGAGGCTGGGGATCAACTAACACTGAGACTACCAAGCATTGTCCTTCTGCGTATCCTCGTAATGATTCCAGTAGAAATCACACGGTAGATTCCGATAGCTGAAAGCAATAATAAAACGAAGGTAGCCGGGTAAAACAAATCAGAATTATGAAACGCATGTTAGCTAAAAACTGGTGTGAATGAACATCTCGTGAACAGGAACCGTGGAAAGTCTTCTCCAAAGGCAAAAAGTAATCTCGAAGAGTAGGCTTTCTACCTGTTGGTATAAAACTGTTTCAAATTTCACGCTTCCCAACACGTTGCTGTACTGACATTTACCACTTGAATAAACAGATATTTCCATACTTTCCGTATATCATCTATATGCCAGCGATACTGTCATCCTTAGTCTGTCTCCCTATGGTGATCGTATACCGGATAACGAAACCTCCTGAAGCGGGACCCTCTTTTATGAATTCCAGGAGACATACAGCATATAAATGACGCTCTACTACACGTGCACTTAATCTGTCCCTGACGAACTACCTAACGACCTGAAATCGAGCTCACTTATCAGTAATTCAAGGCTTCTGTCCTATTGTCTACCTTGCGGTTCCGAATTATTTCGGCTTTCTTTTATTCAGAAGGCGAAGTTGCCGTAGTGATCGACTGATTGTCCAGACTGAGCAAAGGTTCAGCTATTACATCAGAAAATGTCTTCACTATAGTTGAATGTACACCGTCGCGTGTTTCTCCGAAGTTAAGCGTCGGCAGATGCCTTCTATTGATTACTATATTATATTCATCACGACGAGACTGCACCTTGACGTGGTGTGATGGCTTGCGTGCCTCCATGACCCCGAGAGCTACGCAGGACGGCTTTTCACAACCGTAGATCTAATCATGCCTGAAAGGTCAACGGGTAGAGGCCAGACGAAGCTCAGTCTCACAAGGCCAGCTCCTTGGGCACCTCCTGGTTTCCTTCTTCTNGGAATCTTTTTTAAACATTCCAATCTTCCCTTTACTCTATCATTTCAATGGACATTCATGAGACAGCACCAAAACCGGCGCACGACAGTGCATGTTTAATGGTTTTAAAAACTGAGGCTTGGAGTCGAAGTTTGAAAGTAAATGGTTATCGGGCAATGACCCGTCGCGACGAAATGTCAATCTGAACCCGTCGATCTGGTTAAACAGTCCCACGGAGCTCATAGTAAGAACACAAATTTGTGTTCTCATTATGAACTCCATAGGACTGTTTAAACATTTGAAACAAGCCAAAGACCCCATCGTACTAAAGGAACTAAACGTTCATATCAAGTTCCGTACGAAACTGGCTTTGGCCAATACAGCTTATTTGTGTTCTCTTTATAAACAGCTAATGTTTGGCTTCTAGGAGGATAAGTAAAAGTTTTCAGTGATACAGCCGAATGCGGTGAACAGTGGCAGTCGTTGAAATACGCGTAACATAATCCCGTTTTGTTTTTCTCTCAGCTTTTGTTTAATCTTCCTTGCTGATTGACCCAATCGGTCGTCGAAAGACAACAACCAAAATTGGAGCACAGGAATGCAAGGTTGTTCGTATAAATCAAAATCGAAACCCAACTTTGTCTCAGTTCACATTTCTCGTGTTGTGCATGCGAATTTCAATCATCAGGGCCATCTGATTTCGTTTAATTTCAGTCATGTCGATCCTCATGCGAACACCAGTGGCTACTTATTGATATTTCCGATCTCCCAAGCCAACGACTGTGATTCCTAACTTATGTACGGTGATGGAACGAGTTGGCCAGTGGATGCAAGAGATTCGTCTGTTGGACGGCGGCTTTGGAACCGAATGTGAAAAACGCTCTCAATTGCCCATTGACGGACACAAAGCATGGAGCTCTCGTTTGCTAAAAGAAGATCCCAACTTGGTGTGCGAGATACACAAGAGGTAAGCGGTATTAGCGTTGTTGAGCGTACAAGCACGTGTATTACGAATTGTTTGACAAAGAATGTTACCGGTAAGTGTGAAATATGTATATCTTTTTCGGACTAGCTCGGTTTTCAGGCAGCCCATGCACTCATTAACTCTTTTCCTACTCCCTCCAGTTTTCTTCGGGCTGGCTGTGATGTGATCTCGACGAATACTTATCAGTGCTCACCACGCACACTGTCACAAGCTATGAATATCACAATCCGCGAGGCCAAAGAACTTATGAGACATGCAGTACGCCTAGCACGGCGTGCTGTGGATACGGTGTTGCAAGAAGAGCGGTCACCATTATCTCTGAGGAATCGAAAGCTTCCTGTGCTAATTGCCGGGTCCCTGGGATCATACGGCGCATGTTTAGCCGATGGGTCGGAGTATTCTGGAGACTATGGGAAGCATGTTACGTTCTCCGACCTTGTCGATTTTCACCAGGCTCGGGCAGAAATACTTCTCGAAGCTGGTGTGGATTTATTAGCCTGGGAAACGATACCGCTGCTCTCTGAAGTGGCCGCTATTTGTGAGGTGATGCATCGTCTCCCGAACGCTGTAGGCTGGATCTCTGTATCTTCTGTGGATGGTCAGACCACAGTTGCAGGTGAACCGCTACACGACATCGCTTTAGAGGTGGATAAGTGCGACCGAGTAAGTGTTTCCAGTTTTTTTCCGCGGAATACTTCAAATGTTTACCTACTGCCAATTAGTGCGCCCAGTGGTTGCATGGTTTGTAGGCACTAAAGTAGCAAAGCCTTATATGGTACACCATTATCAGTCCCGGGAATTGGACCTCCTGTTTCCATCATTTTATAGCAAGTCTTCGCTACCGTAGGGATTCACTCGATCTACTGTTGTTCACACAAATGTGTCGCAAAAATGGCACGAAAATAGTGCACCTAATCGAAAATCAAGCGAAAAATTCTGAGAGCTTACTGCACGGTTCATTCATGCGGCTTTCGACGTTTATGGGCATGTTGTCTGCACGTTCATAATCGACCTAGGTGAATCATTTAGAGGTATAGCAACTATTGTCCATTATAATAGATTACATTCAGGCCCAATAGTCTTCCGACACTGCACACGCAAAATAACCTGGAAGTTTCGATTTATTGTCATGTCGTGGTACATGTTACGCTTGCTCTGGGGAAAATTAGTTTAACTAAATGTAAACTTATTTCTTTGCCTTAGCAAAGCAAAAGAATTTTCGACTACATGTCATATTTAGGGTAAATGGTAAATGTTGGATTGCGGTTTCGCGGGATCATCACATGACGACTTTTTATTGTTTCTTTATTTTCAGCTTTTCGCAATTGGAGTAAACTGTTCAATTCCACACCATCTGATCCCGCAAGCTTTGGCTAATCTGAGTAGTCTTTACGATCCATGTGAACCAGGCACAGAAGAAGGCTTCCATCCGCCCCCGTGTGATAAACGCCCGGGGGGTCATTCTAGTGATCAGGTAGTCGTGTCACGTACTCGCAAGTTGCTCTTGGTTTATCCGAACAGCGGTGAGCAGTGGATTCCAGCCAAAAGCAAAAGGTCCCGCTGTCGAGGTTACTGGATATGGCCTCCAAAAACTGGACCAAGTCTATGGGCACGTATGATGAGTCGTTACGCTATGCGTAGAGGTGTTCACAATCCAGAACAACTTTCGCAGTCTACACTGACCGAAGCGCACGGAAGTCACACCCGGTTGGCGCTACGAGCTCAATGGGTTGGTGGATGTTGTCGTGTGGGACCGGAACAATTAGCTCAGTTAGCCGAGTGGATGAAACCGGACGAGACTTATCAACTGCACGACATTGAATTGACCCATCAATCATCACCGGAGTTATCTGGTTCACTGTCGTCGGGAACTGGAAGTTCAGTTAGGCATCGGCGGAAGGCTATTGTTGTCGATCATCGTGATGATACCAAACGGCGTCGTTCAGGGCCCACTGCTATGCGAAAAACTCTGTGATCAAACCATATTATATCTTCCGATCAATTCATACGACGACCAAGCCGATAAGAGTTCCGAAGTTTTGCTTGTTCTTGCACTTTTTTTCTCTACGCCACTGCGATCAAAAGCGCCTTACCAGTATTGATCATCTTTAACAACCTGTTCCATGAATGCAACGACCGCATACAGGATGAGCATGAACTGCTCTTCTGAGTGATTATATCGAACTAGATAAAATCTTAACCATCCCTCAGATTTGCTGTTTTTTCTACATAAGTAATAATGTGATTCTGATAGGCTTAGTTACTGAATGTATAGATTCTGGTCACAGGCTGAGTTAGGTGGATCGTTTTCGAACACCACTACTTCGTCGTCCTGTGTGAATACGTAACGGCTGAGGTCATCAGCTGAAGAGACAATCGTCAAATTAGTGATATAAGGGGAAAGAAAGTGGGACGCAAAAAGGTCAATTAACTACTTAATGCATTAGAAAGCTCAGAATGAACACCCCTTGTCAGTAAGTATCCGGGCAAGATAGGGTACCAAAGAGTTTTTGTGAGCAGATATCCGAGATGGGATGAGTTGTTATTTGGAACGGGTGGAGGAGTGGGATTCGCATTCACACACGTCAGAGTGCAAATGGATCCAATTTTCAATAGAATGTTCATCACCTTTTGAAGTGGCCATAGAATGCTTATTTGTTTTGAAAGAGCGGAGCGTTTGCATATTCAATTACCAGTCGTAAGAGAACGTCTGCTTTCTGAATTTTGGGTAAGCCATAAAATCTCGAACCAAAGTTTGTTTTGGGAATCAATTGAAAACAATACTGACTTACTCAGCTTCGGTTTCAACTCTTGAAGTAACTCCACAGTCCTATTTTGGGGCTTATTCCTGACGGCCTGAGCCCGCCTTTGAGGAATTTCCCAGTAAGGACCCCCTGTTAGGAGATCACGGTTGTGTCATAATCCGTTTTTTTCATGATAACCATGTGGTTGCCTTTATCAGCCTTCGTAATCATTAAAGTTTTGTACTTGCGGAGAGAATTAACTGCTAAAGGTTCCTCTTGCGTTAAATTGCGTATTTATTTCCGTTGATTCTGTAGGAAACGAGCGAGTTTTATTGGCCTCTTCCTCTGAGGTTTGTGCAAATGTTCCTCATGTGCAGGGACTATGTCCATATGCTCCAAATACGGAATACTCACATTATAACCAAGTCCTTTGTTTTGGACGAGATTTCCGTGTACGATCAGAACTCGATCGGGTAAATTCAATGGTGCAACTACACAGGTGAAATCGAGTTTCTTCGTGTATGTAATTATATCCCGTTGAGTGTGTAGATCTGTAAATTTCCGTCTTCCGATTCCTTTTATATCGAGAAAAACGACGTTTTACTACCTTTCCCATCGTTTCCCAGTTTTCATAACGGACAGTAATCATAAGTATGACATCATTTGTCGAAAACAGACTTCGGATGTATCCCAGTTTAGTTGTACAAAAGTTGTCTTGGCGTAAGAATGTTCGTTCGGCCACGTTTGCATCATTTTTGAATGGATCAGAAGTATCCGGTGGCTTGATATGAAGATTGTTGGGGATAATATTTGATTGTAAGCAACGCATGTTGAAAATCTGGTGATCACTCCAGTCGGTCTCACAATGCACAAGAATGATACGCTTGATGATAATTTTCACGATTCCAGATCCAAATTTGGAACGGATGTCTTTGAAGAAATTGTGCGTCGTGCTCATAGTATTAAAGCCACGAAAGAAAAACACAGACCACTTTTGGTTGACAATATTTCGACCCTTTCGGAAAACCTTTTTCAAATCAAAGGAACTCAACTATCGCTCTGGTTTTCATGTCTGAGGTGCACTCTATAGACTTCGAAAAACCGATTATTCTGAAGCAAGTTTCCAGGTCATAAAGAGAAAAATTAGTGATTGAGTCACTGCTCATCAACGGCGATACACTTCGCGTCAATCAATCAGACGGAGCCTAATTATCAGTTCATTGGCCACTGGCACAACCAACCGCCCAGAAACACCGACACACATGATAAAATCTCGCCACCACTTTTGGTTGACAATATTCCGATACGAGGAACAAACACCTTCTGGTGCTGCTTCCCTTCCGGACGCTGATTCAACCCTGGAGACGAACTGCGCATAAACGACTGTTGATGAGATAAGAGAGGACTCCGCGCTCCTAATGAATACAATACGTACCCCGTGATGACCTACTTAAGGAGTTTTATCGTCACCTGATGTGCGAAGAACGTATTTCGTCGACAAATCTGGCGCGCTCAAGTGGCTTATAGTGGTAGGATCCTGGATTCGAGTTTCCGACACGCAGGAAATATCGGTCCCTAAGGATTCCATCTTACAAGCGAGACAAGCTTGTTGACCTACCTGCACCAGGATCGTCACGTTGAAGGCCCCCAAATTCAATGATTGAGGAGGCTTTAGAACCTGTTTTCACTTGGTGGTACAATACTTACAGTGTTATTTGGCAATGACCGTTGGCGAGGGACATCGAAGTTGCTTGAGGGATCATTACAGTTCGCAAGAAGGGGAAAATTGAGAGAGCTGGATACTGAAGACAGAATAAAACAAAGGTTGGGTTATCTGAGCAGTAGGCCACATATCAGTACCCACCCCGCTCGATGCACTGGGGCAGTGCGGTCTTGATTATCTTGCGCGACGACCGACGCAGTATGGAATTTCTTTAATTTGTGTACGGATTGAGGTTTGATGGACGGGTAATGCTAGGGTATCCAGCCACTGAGCAGAAGAATGATTACAGTTCTCGTTTAAAGCCTTTTGTTCTAACAAGAACCTAACCGCAAGGCAATCAATTTTTTACCCACTGAAACGCCAATTTCAGTCGAACCCCTCACACGGAGCACAGGAGAGTGAACTTCGTCTGATCTCCAACCACTGCCCTTCCAGGCATGATAAGATCTCCTGATTTGACAAACGCCATCCTGTGTAGCTCGTTGGGTCACAGAGGCGCACAAGTCATCACACCACGTCATGGTGCGGTCTCGTTGTGAAGGTCTGCCCGTGTTGTTTGTTTAGATATCACGAATGTCTAACTGAAACACTTCAGGAACTGAACAGATTATCGCCTACGATACCTATCACCCTTCGACTCCAATTAATTCCGGTGTTTCAGGGAGTCATTCTATCACCTTTTTCTTTTCTAAACATAGGGGATCTTTCGATCTATTTCTGTTGGTCGCGATTATGCACGTGTCGTACACAAAACCATCGATTTTCGGTGCTCAGCACGGCTGTTTTACCAATCTTCGGTCTGCAGACCGTCCTCGGAACTAAAGGTACCACAGTTTTGATAGTCCTCTTAATCGTAAATCTCACCTTATGCACTACTCGATTTCTCAGTCTTTCGTCTCTACCTGTTTGTGGTCCAACTATCCTAAAAGCAAACTAAGTGTAATAATCGAGTAATTTTTTTCTCACAATCGACCACGGTCTATGTATATGCTAACACCATTATCAAAGTCCATGGGTTATCCTTTGACACTTACAAACCTAGTTACTCTCAATGAATCTATATAAATGTGACCACCTGCATTACCTCGTAGACTATATTGCCCGCTTGTCACTTTTCCGGTTTTGAAAGATAAAGATTTTATCGTTTATCAGATCTCTGAAATTCTTATTAAGATCTAGCGGTATTCTCCTTGGCAATCTCGCAAGCACTCCAATACAGGTGAACAGTTGACCAAACGCCGTTGTCTAATGCCAGATACTGTTTACTCAACGAAATCCTCAGAGCCGTCTCTGCTTCTGAACCCGTTCCTGAAACAAAGTTCTCTCCACTCAAACATTCATATGTTGTACTAGTGTTATATCACCAAAAGGTCAGGGCCGAGTGGAGAACACCATCGGATAAGGGTAAATAAGCTTCCACAGAACGAAACAATTAATTTACCACCAAGGGATGGTATTTTCGTGATTATCCCTTTATCAGCGATTGCCACTCTGACAGTCTGTTTGACTTTTGCGCAACAGCAACAGTAAATCCTTCAATCCACTCGTGGATGACTTAGAAATACAACAACGGTTTGTTAGTGTGCGCAATTTATTCACAAATGTGAGTAGTACATCACAATACTATCATTATTCTCTAAGTGATGTATATCCTAGTTAACCGCATACTCATCATTGCTAACGTTTCAGCCCGCCTTCCACGGTTAATTCTATCACTTTTTGTTCATCCTTTAACCATAGTGCTTCCTAGCTCTAACGGAATTTTCGAGTCACTTTGAAAACTCACCCACCAAGGTGCATATTGCAGTTCTTGACTTGACTTGAAAAAAAACGTGGCCGTGATGAAACTGCGTAAAACTAAACCTAGATTTCACTGCGCTATATTGCTCAGTCATTATCAATATCCACCGGATCCATAGTGTCGCCCTTAGTGGCACAGCAGCCACTACTGACTTACGTTCGATATAAAATACATAAAAGGATCAGGACGCCAGATACTGCAACATAAAGATAGAAACGTAATCAAGCAGTCAAAACAATAATATTGCATATCACTTCATGCTGAAAAGTAACATCATTTGGATATATTTATTGAGCAAACGAAGCAAATATGTACATCCATCAAGATATATAATAGCATAAAGGAGACGAAAGAATAACTCGTATATCAACGGAGTAATAAGTCAATCTCGACGACACATTTACACATTCAAACACCAGTAGGTCGTGGTGGTTAAGGCCATTTCACTCGATTTATGGTTGTCATGTGTGTTGAAAAAACGCCGGTTAGGATAACAGAGCGGACAACGCTTCGAACAGCTTTAGCATATCCTCTCGATGCAGTTCAATGCCTGAAATTCGTGAAAATAGAATGAGGGAATGTAGAAAAAGACAATGGTTCAGCCTGCGCATTTACCCACATCTACAGGGAGGAACGAGAACTTACAGTTNCGAAATTCCGCACGAGCCTTGGTTTTGCGAACAGCGGCCTCAAAAGCCTGGCCGAAAAGACTTACAGGAAGGATGGAACGAGAATACAAGGGAATAAACAAAGAAAATCAGAAAGAAATGAAGAATGTGTAATAATATGACAAAAAGATGATGAGAAACAAAACTGAAATCTATAAGATGGTGGTGGAAATGGGAATAAATTTAAAATTTAAAAATGCTTTGATAACTATTGTTTACCGAATGCAATTAGCATTTTTGGCACCAGAAAGGGCTCCAAAGGCAACAGTACCAAGGTTAGTTTCAGATCATTTAGTTTTCAGGTTTTCTAAACTGTTGAGTTAATTTGACTGGTAACTGATAACAGATCCTCACGACCAGACTGAACCTTAACGTGGCGTGATGGCATGCGCGCCTCCAGGCCTCTGCGATTTATACAGGATGGCTTTTCACAGCCGCAGATCTAATCATGCCTGGAAGGTCAACGGGTAGAGGTCAGACAAAGATTAGTCTCACAAGGCCAGCTGCTTGGGTACCTCCGGCTTGGTTCTATCCACACCCACCCCTGGAGAGGTCACTGCAGNTGCAGCACATAAACACGGTGAGGTGTAGTTTACCGGTTAAAAAACCCGCTAGGTGGACGCAGGAGCGGGAAACCTGCGACTTCGTCTCGACGGTGGGAGAAGTCTTCGCATTTCACTACTACTACTCAGGTACCACCCGCCTAATCTGGGTAGCCCTCAGCCAATAAGATGCTGTCCCGTCCACGTTCCGCTTGTCTCATTGGGTGCATGAGACTCAGGGCCGATCCCGAAAAGTGGACCGATAATCAACGCATAACACAATCAATCGAAATTCAAAGGCCTGAGTGGCAGGTCCCCAGAAGCTCCCACACGGGTGCTTCGTTCACGCTTCACTGCCTTGTGAATCAGCCTTCTGAGTCGAAGGCTCCGATTAAGGTTCCTAAAAAATATCCACAAATTACCGCTGCCTTATGGGTCAAATTTCTGAGTCAAAAGCTCCGGTTAGGGTTCCCAAAGAAAAACCCTTCGTCGGTGTGGGCTGTCGCGAAGTATCTCGTGCCTTAAAGTCTTAGGCACCCATTTGAAAAAACCTCTTCCCCATCAGTCTAGTTCTTCCTCTCAATCCCGAATAATCCCAAACGCCTGCTGTTTACAAAACCCATCGGATTTCACAAAGCGTTTTACTAACAAATCCAAATAATCGGAAGTTACAGGATTTTTAAAGCCAAAACACCCATTTCACTTAGCCGCGTTTATTGTCCACACACCTTATCAGATCGATCAACAAGCTGCCTTAGCTAGAACCCTTGAAACATTCAATTTAGATGTATGCTATGTCTCCGAAATACGCATACAAGACCCGATTTATATTATCTCACTGCGTTCTCCTGATCCAACCTCAACCTCGCGCTTCATCCTTCGTGTGCCAGGCGATTCAGCATCCGAAGCTGGCGGTGTCATTGGTGTTGGGATTGCGCTGAGTGCAAAGGCTGAACGTTCGCTTCTCGACTGAATTCCAGTCAGTAGCCGACTGTGCGCCGTACGTCTCAGCGGACCAGCGCAGGGGAACAGCTGCCGGACGATGCATCGATGTCTATTCGTCGTGTCGGTGTATACCTCGACCGATTGCAGTACACCTGAAATCAAGGATGAATTCTACGAGGACCTTTCTCGATTACTCCAAAGTGTTCGATCAACGGCAATCATGGTAATCACTGGAAACCTCAATGCTAAAGTGGGATCCCTGGACGAATCAGAAAGGCTTCCTGGTGGACCACATGCAATCGCAGCCAACTGGACGGATTACTCTGTGTCGACCACGGATTGTTCCTGTCAAGCACCAACTTCTCGCAAAAGAAACGACACCGCCTTACACGGAAACCGCCAACCTCTTCACTGCGCTGGACCCAAATCGACCACATCGCCATCAAAATTGAAGACTGTCGCTCTTACTGGTCAACACATGCGGATACGGACCACGGTTTACTTCGAGCCAAATTCTTCTAACGCCTGGCAAACAACCGTAAAAAAGCCATCGACAACGGATACGCACGATACAGTGTCAACAATTATTGCAAATCAGTTTGCGAAGCGAAATTCTCCGATAACCTGCCAGTTCAACCACCAGCCGAAGGACTCAATGAACACTGGAAGCAAATCAGGGGAGCTATGCAAACATCGAAAAACAACGTAAGACCCTCGCGTAGGGTCAAAACATCGTCGATCTCGGCTGCCCTGGTGGACGCCCGCAAAATCCTTCCTCCTGATGCCACATATGACACAACGCGCAAATCTCTCAACCTCCGGCTCACCAAGAGTCTGAGGAATGACCGCGAGAAGAGGTGGATGGGAAAGTGTACGAATATGGTGAAGTCGGCGGTTAAAGGTAATAGTTGCAATCTTTCCGTCTGATTAGGAATACCGGTTTTAGGAAATTAAGCGTGCGGTGATTAAAGAATCCGATGGCACACGGATTCACGATCGGTAACACCGGCTTGATCGATGGGT